TCTCCTTCAAACTTTCCCCTCTCACCTTAAATGCACATCCCCTAGCATTTAAACTCTGGGCAAAAGATTCTGACCATTAACCTTACCTATGCATCATACCACTAAACCATTCAACCTTATACACCTTCACCAGGTAATGCCTCAACATTCTCTGCTCGAGAAACAAGCCTAACCCTATCCCACTTCTCTTCATAGCCAAGCGCTCCAAAACAGGCAGCATCCCGGCGAATCTCCCTTGCACTCATCCTTCTTATAGCATTGTGACTAGAACTGCACAGTTCTCCAGCTGTGGCCTAACTAAAGTTCTACATAGGTCTAAAATGACCTCCCTGCTCTCATAACCAAGACATAGTAACAGATAAAGACAAGCATTCTGTATGCCCTGTAATACCCGATAAACATGTCCTGCTACTTTCAGGGATCTGTGGATAAACACTCCCAGATCCTTCTGTTCTTGGGCTTCCTAGTATCTTGCCATTTGTTGAGTACTCCTCATCTTGTTGCTTCTCTGAAGTGCAACACCTCTCACTCATCAGGAATTTTTAAAAAAAAAAAAACCACACACCAACAGGGACGAGCGTTTTACCGACTAGGCCAGCCAGCATTTTATTACCTATTCCAGAGGGCTGTTCAAAGTCAACCACCTTGAGAGTCTGGAGTTACATGTAGTCCAGACCAGGTATGGACAGCACTTTCCTTTCCTAAAAAAGAAAAAAAAAGTGAACCAGATGAGTTTTTCCTGACAGTGGATTCATGGTCATCATTCAACTCTTAACTCCAGATGTTTATTGAATTCAAATTCCACCATCTGCTGTAGTGGAATTTAAAACTGGGCCCCCAGAACATGCTTCAGTTACCAGATTAATAACAGTAATAATACCACTGGCTCTCCTTTATATCGTCCCATAACCAAACACCTTCGTCATCTGCAAACTTACTCATCCACAGCACCCCTCCAAACTTATCCCACCACCACATTCTTGTCTTGTTTTTCCATTCTCCTCATTTAGTTTCCCAACTTACTTGAAATTGCTACCGCTAAAGGGACAGGAAATTTCTACTCCTTTAGACATTCACTTTGTCAACACCGTTCAGGATCTTCTATTTAAATTAAATTAAGTCATTCCTCAATATTCTAAACTTCAGTGGAAAGAAATCTAGTCTGTCCAACTTTTCCTGATTTCTGAAATCAATTCAATAAACCTCCTTTGAACCGCCTCCAACATATGAATTACCTTCTTTTCTAAAAAGAAAAATTTAGACAGTATTTGAAATTTGGTTTCTTTACAACTGAAGCTTTTATGTCAAATTCCTCTTGATAAAGGATTGCATTCCTTGGGTTCTTCATGACTTTGTGCTTGAATAACTGAGTCAAGCACTAGAACACCTAGAGCACTCATACCCCAGAATTGCACATACATTTTTCACTTAATACTTTGCTTTCTCATTCACGCTAAGAGCGTGACTTGCATTTCCCCATATTACTCACACGCTAGATTTTTTTTGTCACTCACTCAAGCCATTTATAATCCATCTTGAATCCTCCTCATACAATATTTTCCTAGCTAAATTGTGTGATCTGCAAATATAAGTACACAATTCAAGTAAGTCATTGCCGATAATTGTAAAATTGAAGCTGCAGTACAGACCCCAGCAGGGCTCTGCTCATTACATCCCACTAAATGAAGAAAAACGTACACAGTCTGTTCTTGGCCCGCAGCCAATATTCTATGCAAACATGTTAAACAACAATCATGAATTCCTACTCTGAAGTTTCCATCACCATGTTATATCTCCTGGAAATGCAATCAATCATTCAGAATATTCTTAAGTATCCTCTTAAACGTCTGCCACTGCTTCTGCCTTGATCCATCTCGAGCTGGTATTCCTCACTCGCTTCAGCTAGCTCAGTTTCTAATGAGTTTAGTTGCCCTTAAGACAGCCACCCTTTCAAACAATGTAAAAAAAAAAGTCACTGATCACTTGCCTAGGAATGCCTTTACAATGAGGTAATTAACAAATCTTGTTATGTTACACAATACCTAGTTCAGTATAACCTGCTCTCTAGTCGTCTCCAGAGCACCCCTCAAACAAATTCTACAAACTCCTCATTCAGGCTTCTTATCACCACTGATTTTTCCATTTTATATATACACACACATTTTAACATCATGCATGATTGTTGTAATAAAGAAGTAACAATACTCACTGTAGTAATCTTCATCCAACAATGATTCTTGTTGTGGGCCTGAGGGCCAACCCTACTTTACTTTTGTTTCCACCCCCCATACCCTTGCCCCCCTCAAGATTCCTCATCTCTATCCAAGAAATGATTCTACATCTTGACCTGAACCAAGATGATCTGTACCCATCACCTTGACTTAGTTTCTTATTGTTGAATATTATAGACCTTTCAACATGTAGGACATGCCCTTGCCATCATGCAAGCACATTTCCATAACTGCACTAAGATCATCTTAATTTACAAATTAACACTGCACATTGAAGTAAGAGTTTGTTATAAACACTTTGCATCTGAATCCATTGCCTTTCATTTTATCTTTAACTGTTGCTCCATTCTCAGTTATGCACTCAACCTTCCTGCTGTTCTTGGGCCTTCCTTTCACATATTACTACTTTACCATGTTGACTCTGCTTTATTTGCTATATTACCAAGCTTAATCCCTCAACTTTTTTTTAAAAAAAAAAAGTTTAGAAGTCATCTTCCTGGTAATACCATTATCTAGAACGCTGATCCTGGAGGTCCACGGGCTCAATGTTCTAATAGAATTGGCCCCACTTTCCTAATAAATTGATACCAGTACCCCACAAACCAGAACACTAAAAAGTCTTAAATACCTTCTGACAATGGCACTTAGCTACAAATGAGATTAGAACTCAAAACATAGGAAGAAGGAACAACAGTAGGTAATGTGTCACTTGGAACCTCCTCCACCAAGATCATGGCTGATCAGATTTGAACCTTAATTCTAGATTCTTATATAAACCAAAACACTTGTTAAATCAAGCATCTACCTACTTCAGCATTAAAAATATTTAAAGATTCTGCACTCTCAGCTTTGAAGAAAGGAATTTCAAAAGGCCTCAACTTTCTCAGATTAAAAATAGCTTCCTCATTGTTTTTAAATGTGAGATTCTTTTTAAAATTCATTCTTAGATCTAGATTCTCCCACGAGAAACGTCTTTTCCACATCCAAAGAAGTCCTGCAATTAAAATCACCACAGACTCTAGAGGATAGAGGCCTAACCTGACTGGCCGGTCCTCATAAGGCAAGCCACTCATTCAGTACTAGTCTTATGATAAAACAGAGCTGGAAGGATATTCTGTCTTTTTTTTATTGAAGGGAGGTCGAGAGGTACTGCACTCTCTGCCAAGCCAATAGAGTGTTGTGACACCTTTTCAAAAAGGTTAAAACAATAGAAGCAGCATTCATGCATGGAGTCAGACTCCCACAGAACCTGAATTTTAATTTAGTTTTCAGTACACGTTGACGCTCTGAAGTAAGATGTCTCATCTCTCTCTGCCACAAAAAGCTGTAGTTCTCTGCCAGAAGTCTTATTTTCTCCTAGACTTGTTTCCTAGATGTTTATGAAATCTATTCTGCTCTATTTGCATTTGCCAAGGATATGTTTATGGAATGTTACTAGATTCAACAGTTGCTGTTTAGTAGTTAACAGAATAAAGAGATTTATCTTGGCTCCCAGAATACACAGTCTATTCTTAGTAATTATGCAGCTGGATCACAGGTGTGAGCGATGCCTACTGTGGTGGAAAAGCTTGTGGAACAGCAAGCAACTGAGGTATTATAGGAAGTACATACTGGTATTTTTGATAATGCCAAAGAAATCAGTGTGCATCATGTGACTATGCTCAAAACATATTGACAGGGACAGAAAGATAATCGTGTTACTGATCACAACACAGCAAAGAAATAATTTGAGGATTTGGATTTGGACATTCCTCAAATTAAATTGGACAATGAGAAAGTTGTCAGAAGTTGGGATAAACTGAGTTGAGCTATCTTCCAGAGGAAAAACAAAGTGGCCTGAGTTGTTACAATCATGTGGGAGTTGAGGGAATAAGCTGGGATGTAGAATCTAATTATGGATGTAGATACAGGAAATGCTGTTCCAATTAAGAAATATCCATATAGACTTAACCCTATAATTCTATGCATGCAATCTGAGCCTGTATGTTGAAAGTCAACAGTATCAAATTGAGTTGCAGTGACTGGAGCTCAACCATAGCAAAAATGGCAGCAATGGTACCAGGTGGTAACCAATAATTACATGCCGACTATCAGTCAATGCAGTTACAAAATCTAATTCACATCCTATTCTGCATTTGGAAGACTGTATTGAAAAGGTGGGCCAAAAACCTTTATTTCTAAGTTGGACTTACTCAGGAGGATACTAACAGATCCTTCATCCAAAAGAGCAAAGAATCAGTTTGTGACACTAATGGACTGTTAATTTGAAGTCACGTCATTTGGTATGAAAAGCCTGCCATCCACATTTCAATGACTAACCAATAAAGTCATTTCTGGATTATCCAATTGTGTGGTGTACATAATCAACCTGGTGATTTTGTCATATGGAAAGAATTGACTTTGGGAAGCAGGCTTGGTGATCAACTTGGGCTCTTGCAAACTGGCTCTTGCCAAGTCATATTTGTAGGCCACATTATTGGACTTGGACAGATTCTCCAAAGGATGCAAAAAAACAAGTGTTACGGGGAGATTCCCCCCCACTATTGGCAAGGAGGGCAGTGCTACGATTCCTGGCATTGAGCAGGTTTTATCAGCTGTTTGTAATGAATTATAACAGTGTGGTTGTTCCACAAACTGACTTATTCAATAAGTGCAGAAAATTTCAGTGCCTTCTGACAGTCTGCTGTGCATTTCACAGGCAGAAAGTTGCATTAACTGCTGCCCTGGTGTTAGCCACACTAATTATACAAAACCATTCAAGGTGGCTATCGATGCAAGTGATATGGGTGTTGGTATTGTATTCTTGTACGAGTACAAGATAGACCTATTGGGAATTTTTCCCAAAAAGCTGAATTATTAACAAACATTCCACTATTGAGAAATAAAGCTTGATCTTGTTTTTGGCATTACATTTCAACATTTATTACCAGCAATGTGACTGAGACAATAGTGATCATAACTCACTGAAGTTGAGACATTTAAAGAGACTAATTCCAGACTGACTGACTGCAATAACCTTCATCTAAGCAATCTGAAATTTACACATGCAGCAGGTTGAGAGAACACCAGTTGTTCAGTAACAGGAATAAACAGGCTGAAATAGACTGTAGTAGTGAATGTCAGCATGCTTGGAAACAATGTATACACATTGTAGTCTTACTCCAGTATACTACACCATCTTTGTAGAACGATGGGTTTTTCTGAAAAGGGGAGCAGTCGTGCTGCTAGAGATCATTTTGTCCTTTGTAAGGCACAGATCAGTCTATTAAAACTACTTGAGTAAACAGCTTGAGGCTTTGTTTTTGTTTAACAGCCTGAATATGTGGCCAGCTTCAGTAAATAGCTCCTGGCTGCTACTGAATTACCTCAACATTTTTTACCTCCTGAATTGGAGAACTGCATGTGAGAATCTGTATCTGAATTTGCCTTTTGTCAAGGTGTTTATGGGATGTCACTATATTGGCACAGTT